TAGTTTTATAGTAGCAAAATAGGGGCCAGACGTTGACTTCTAATAAAAGCTCTACTTTTTAAGTGGGACTGATTTTTTGCTTTCTTTGGAGCACTCGTTTCTGGATGGCTCGTTTGCTGCAGCGGTACATCATTTTGCAGTCTAAGTGCTTTTGCCTTCCTCGCTTCGCAACGTGGAGATGCGGGCAAAACGGTAGATGTGTTACCTTGACTCGAATTTTCATTCCTTAGCAAAAGTTGATTGGAAGTGGGCAAAAAAAGTGCTCGGCTCACAGTCCTGTGACACAAATAAAGCCGTGGTAGGGTTTCGTCTGTACCGTCTTGACAAGCATGATCTAAGAAAGTAATCGCATTTCACGAACAACCCAATCAGGCACCAAACTATACACTCTGTTTTTCTTGAACTATGACGTTGTCGTGCTGACGAAAGCTCAGCACAGATCCTTTGGGAGTCAAGGACTTTCTGGCACAATTCAACCGCCTTCACTTCATGGATGTCAATCCTTCTACGATTTCCTTCCAGCCAACTTTTTATTTAAAATTAACAATAAAGTCCCACTAAACCACTAAGAGATTCTGATAAATGCAGCTTTGATCGTCTAAAATAGATGACTTTAGTCCCATTGACCTATAAGATACGCGATCGAGGTGGGCAAGTTCAAGGCGAAAGACACTTATCTTTACGCATTACTGAATTATTTGTGAGTAGTAGAGAGGCCTGCATATTTTTGCTGCAGTTAGTCGCATACGAATTTTAATGCAAAACAGCGTCAATAATAGGGTTCTGCAGTGATTTTCGGCTGCTTTTCACCTCAGCATCTTCCGGCCCATTCAGCGACCGGATAAGGATGCACAAAGAAGGACCCAAAGGCGAAAGTGAGACCGTCTGAGCGTGGGGGTGACGACGAGAGGATTTGGCGGAAATAGCTGAATTTGAGAAATGCAGCTTTATTCGCCAAAAAACAGATGCATTTAGTCCCATTGACGTATAAGATCCGCGATCAAGGTGGGCAAGTTCAAGTCGGAAGACACTAATCTTTACAGATTACTGAATTATTTGTGAGTAGTAGAGAGGCCTGCATATTTTTGCTGCATTCGGCTGGAGACGGACTCGTCGTTGGTCAAATCAGATTATTCAAGAGTGATTCATTTTAAAAGACTGAGTCGCCTACGAATTGCAATGCAAAACAGCGTCAAAATGGGGTTCTGCAATGATTTTCGGCTGTTTGTTACTTCAGCACCTTCGGGCTCAGTAGGCGACAGGACAAGCATGCACAAAAAAGGACCCAAAGGCGAAAGTGAGGCCGTCTGAGGGTAGGGGTGACGACAAGAGGATTTGGTGGAAATAGCTGAATTAGAGAAATGCAGCTTTAATCGCCTAAAACAGATGACTTTAGCCCCATTGACCTATAAGATCCACGATCGAGGTGGGCAAGTTCAAGTCGGAAGACACTAATCTTTACAGATTACTGAATTATTTGTGAGTAGTAGAGAGGCCTGCATATTTTTGCTGCAATCGGCTGGAGGATTTCGCGGAAATAGCTGAATTTGCTGTCAGTGTGACTTAGTTTTCATGCAGCAGAATAGGGTCGAGCAAGCCAGGCTGAAGAAGTCGGCAGTTTCAAGCGAACAGTTTTGCCGTCGTGGAATGTCTACGAGT